GCTGATCAACAGCCCAGAATAGCCTAGTCTTAAATGTGGGCATTCTCCAAATAAGGCTCTAATTAAATTATGCAATGTTCTCTTTTTGAATCGAAGACAACCAAAATTGTGTTGTATACGATTCTGTACATATATCTGCTTTCGCCCAAAATAGAACAAACTGAATCTAAACAAACTAAATAAGACTACGAAAATCACTTACATATCGGTCCAGCTTGTGCCAAGGTTAGGAAATGAAGAACAGCAAAGGTACTACTAATCAAGGCGAAATGTTACGAAAACTCTGTTAAAAGAATGCTAAGCTTTTATATGCACGTGGTGACACTAAAAGGTCTGATTACAAAACCAATAGGAAACTAGATAAGCATATGTAAACATTGTAACTAAGTTCATTACTAAGACCTAGGCACGCAATCAGGCTAATCGATCATTGATCTAATAAAACTTGACACTTTGTCTAGTATCCTCAACACAACTTTTGGAATGATTGATAATGCCACGGCCGATAAAATGACTGCAAAAGTGGTTGGGAGAAACTCAGAGCTTTCACGTTAGCGTGAAGAATATTTTGAACATGCGGTCATGCAGCGAAACACATCTGCGAAATTTTGAACAATTTTTTGCTTTTAAATAGTTTTTTTTTGCCTCAGCTTGAATGAAAATTTATTGTTATCAATCTTCCTTTTGCATTTCTTTCATTTGGTTCCCTCTGTTTGGGAATTTTAGGTTTTAAAAGTGACCAGTAACTTGCACGCTGGATTTCTGCATATTTAGGGTGCTTTCCATTTAAACGCAAACCGACCAGTCAGAGATCAGTGGGAATACCCGAGGAAAATGGAACGACATTTTCCAATTAAACTGCGCCAGCCAATAGGAATGGCTCTTGCCACTTTTTATTCCTTTTCCGAATTCCCAAATTAGGGCAAAGAACCAGTTTGTCAAAAATGGAACGGCAAATCTTGATTGGAATATTCCAACCGAAACAATTGGACCACCTCCAGAGGTAATTCTGAATATTCCGCTTGCAAGAAACCAAAACGGACCTTTCCATTTGAATTCTGACTGAAAGTTCCGGAATCTTTGGCATAATGGAAAGCACCCTTAATGTATGGCGACCTCCAGGGGCTTTGTTTATTTCGTTTATTCGCTTTGTTTAAATATTTTTTGGAGTCTAATTCAGCTACTACTTAACTGCTGAGAAAAGAACTAAATGGCCACTAATTTAACACAGTTAAAATATGCCTGATCTCTAAATAATTGGTTAGTTTTTGTCGTCTTTTTGATTTTGTGACTTTCATCTTTCTTTCGCAGCGCAGTAATATTTCATCGCACGGTGAAGAAATTACTCGATTTCTTGTTTTCAGATTGATTTTTACATGAGTTTTTTGCTTTTATTTTTCGTTGATTTCTCAAATGTTAGCCGTTATATTTTGTATTTGGTTTCATTTTTGTCCTCCAAAGTCAATAATTAACTCGTTTTCACAAAGTCAATTTTCTCAGCTTCTGTGGGACATTTTGTCGTGTGGTAAAGAAATAATATAATTTCTTGTTTTCTCATCAGTTTTACACATCAGGTTGAGTTCTTTTTGATAATATTTTTTAATATTTTGACCCTTCATTTAGTCAACTTTAAATAAACAATGTCATGAAACCTGATCTTGTGTATGTTGTTACTGCGCATATGGTTTATTTTTGTGCTTTCGCTCGCTCTGAAATATTCCAAAAAAGGCCAGGGAATTAGGAGTGGGTCGCGGTCAATTTCATTCAGGCATCAATGGGTTAAAGAGGATACTTTGTACACCAAAATTATGCTATAAAACATATAGGTCGTGCTCATTTAAGAGAAAATGAGCATTTATTTCACTGTCAAGCTTAGTGTAGGAGCACGCGCTAATGACGCGAAAAGTGTACCCAGTTAAGGGCTGCGCAATGCAACATATACTGACAAATCACCTTAAGAAAGTCCTGGTCTAATCTGGCACATATCCTACACGTCTAATTGTTTAAATGGCCTTTTCTTAGTCACATGCATAGAATGATGAAGTTAACCCCTGCACTACTAAACCCTAATCCTAACCCTGACATATTTTTGTTGTAAAGCTTAAACTTATAAATACTTCTTTTATGCAGGGAAACCATTTGAAATTGTTATTTGAAAGAAGACTAGTCAGAATTCTGCCAAAAGGATTACATATTAGGTTCTTTGCTCTCATTTTCCATGACCTCATACAAATCTTGAGCTCATAATCTAATTGTTAATTGAAAAATTAGTAACTGCTCTCATTACCAAGTTTAAAGTTTAATGTCCCCTTCAAGTGTACTGCCTTTTTTTTGTTAACTTCTTTGGCCATGCTTGAACGATGGTCTTTAAATCTCTGTAATATAAACACCCATCATTGTTTGGCCCAGGCTTTAAAAGAACAATTATAGTGTTCCTGACGTTATTCTGGGGACAAACTGGGAAAAACATGCACATGGGCTCGCATTTGGTCACTTGGTCAGGGTTACACAACTAACTGACTGCACTTAAGTGCATCTAATGATCTACTGAGAGAAATAATGTCATGTCACCCACTGTATTGTTTTCCTTGAACAAAAAGTTGACAAAGTTACCTGAATGAAATGTATTTTTTTTACGAAAAAAAAGTGACTATCAGCCTTACAATTGGTGAATAAATTATTTACTTAAAACAGAGTACTCACCTGGTAGTATTCATTTTTTCCATTACCTGTTCCTTTTAGTTGAAAGTGATCTAAATTCAGTAATGGCTACTTGAAATAGCTGCACTTTGGGATTTATTTTGACCATCCTACTTTAATTTACATTTCTCTTCTCCTAGATCACCTAAGTCTTGGAATGAGCACACACCAGTTGTTTTTATTTCTTCTGGACCTCTCTCAGGTGAAATGCTTCTTTTCCAAATTATTATTATTGTCACAGATGTACACTGTTAAGTACTTAAAAAATAGGCTCACAATGTGTACTTGTGAACTTATGCTTAGTTTTGTTCTTTTCGGTTGGAGTTTAATTGCTATAAGTGAGAAGGTAATCATTGAAAAGATAAAGGTGTTACTTTGAAACTGGAGACATTGTACTTGTGACAGAAAACTTGTGGTCCCTTGGTTGCATCCTGGGAGTAAAACCAAACAAGAGAGATGGGCTTGTGAGGAGAGTCAGGCTGAAAACCAAGTCTGCAGTCCTGGAATATCCCATCAACAAGATCATTCTGCTAGAGGCTCCTATAGCTAGACTCCACGAGAGCAGCTAAACAATGTTGATCTTGATGCTAGGCCATCTTCGCTCCTAATGGGGAGCATAGGGCGTCAACCATGGACCTCCACCTGACTCTTTTTTTAGTGCAGAGTGCATTATTGGGATGGTTTTGAGGGCTGCCTGCTGCTAAGGCACTAAGCCGCTATGGTGCTTAATGGTGCTATGGCGCTATTGCACTATGGCACTGACGTGTAAACTTTAATGTTTGTTTAATTAATTAATTTCAAATAATTAATTAGTCTAGAGGCAAGGAAGTGGTGGGGGTGGGATGGGAAAGGTACATGACTGTACTCTACATAAAACATGTTCCATTTTCGTCAGTTGGGTGTGAACATCGCAAAGCTATATATTTGTTTCAGGTAACCCCTTGCTCTCCTTGTGGTACCATTCCCTTTAGAACAAAACTAATTTGCTCTAAATGCCTGCATAGATTAGTTAGTGTTTGTGGCTTCTATATTAGGTGGAGGATACATTGCATATGGAATCATGAATAAATGCTGAGTGGTTTTCCTTATGGTAGAACTCAACATGTAAGATGCATGTGCTCTAGCAACGTTAGTGTTATACGCTATCTTTCCACGCAGTATTTTATATTTCATGTCATGTGACCAAGGACGACAGTTATTTTTCAGATAGTGCCAATTGTCCCTTTTTATTGCAAAAGTGAAACATCACTTTGGCTGCGTAGCTTTTAGATTTACAGGTCGGTCCAACAAATATTAACTGCTGTTTTCAATCTACAATAGTGTGTTTAATTTGTCAGGGTTCAAATGTATTGCTTCTCCTTAGCGGCTTGTTTACTTCTTACCTTAATTGTGTCTGTAAGAGAGACCAAAAAGTTCTCAAGTTTGTGGCTTTAATACTCCGCAAATTGTAAATTTGTGACAAAAGAAACCAGGATTAAGTGCTCAAATATCACTGCAGACTCCGTGGCACCTAATGGAAGCACCAATTAATTTAATCAGTCTTTGAGGAGCCTCATTCATATCGGCCAAGTAACCCTGTTTATCTTTAATACTTTTCGTTGAAACACTTCTCAGCCATCAATATCGTTGTGTGTTAATTTTGAATTGTTTTATTGTTAACAACAAAGGTGGCAACAGAAAAAGAAAGTGGTATTTCGTGACTATCTGATACTTAAATTAGTTCTTGTTTATTCGTGATAAGATAGTAAAACAACATCGTTACTGTTCCAGTTCTTCATCACTACATCAGATATCTGACTTTCTTTCATTTGTCTCGAAAAAACAAGCACATCTTCCGTGTGTTTTGGAGAAAACAAGGATTTCATATTACATGCCTTTGCGAGGAAAACAAAAGTGTCAGGTTACAAAGTTGGCGTGAAGAGCTAAATTGTCATGTTACATACATACATACATACATACATACGTTTATTTGATAAGTAGGTTTAAAATAAGCAACTGTACAGCTGATGTGAAACTACTACTACTAAATCTAAATAAGAGAAACAGAAATTTACAATACAATTGTCATAAAGCTAAAATAATATATACAATAACGATAAAAAGAGTAATCAAA